TGCAGGGGGTCGGACTCGATGATCTATTGAGGTCCCTTCTGACCCTAACATCTATGAATCTATGAATCTACTCTATGTATCCTTTTTGGGAATGGGAGATCAGAACTCCACAGTATTTTGGGGCACTTGTACACGTGAAAGGGGTTTAGTCCTTCAGGGTTGCATTCTGTGCCCTCTATATTGAAACGCTGAATTTTTAATTAAGAAAGGAGGGTTTCATTTTTCCGTCACTGTATACATGTCGTTGTCTTGGTGGCCACAGGTGCCTGCTGAAGGCAGAAGTGGCAAGGGGTCGGATCCTTTTTTTCCTGGAGGAGCCTGCCTGCCTGTCCCATGGCCAGGGTGCAAGCTGCTGGCAGGCCGAGAGGCCCCTGAGCTGTGGGGGGCCTCAATCCTTCCCTCCACAGTGGCGGCACCCCTTGGGGCCGTCCAGGCAGGCTGCGAGCGGGCCAAGTGCTGCCCCAGCTTGGAGGTGCGCGATCTAATTCTTCCCTAAACTGGCTCAGGCGTCCAGCACCCCATGCACCAGTCCTGCTGCCTTCTGCTGCCAGCACACCCAACTGCCCTCCTGCCACCTCCCTGCGCTCTCCCAGGGGCCAGCCCATTCCTGGGTGGTCCCAGGTGTTCTGGCAGCTGCAGGTGCCTGCTGAAGGCAGAAGTAGTGAGGGGCCCGATCCTTTTTTTCTACAGAGCCTGCCTGCCCTTCCCGCAGCTCGGGGGCAAGCTGATACATTAATGGCTGCAATGTTCCAAGTTGCAACATTGCAGACTAAACTATATCGGTATGTGGCTTAGTTTGTGACAACACAAATTCATTTAAAACCCCCAAAACTTGCGTATGTGTAAAGTGTGATGCCATTAAGCCACACAAAGGGAAAATTTTGTCACGTGTGTATGGTAACATCGTGACGTGTACACGCACTCCTAGACATGGGTGCACTGTGGATTAAGTTACAGCAGTGTGGTTGTGTCCATGCAGTGCAAGGGAAAGGTAGTTTGCTCTGTCACTAAGCAGTGCTTCTCAGTACAGCCTCTGTGCCTTACAGGTGTGATTATGCGTCTTATGGAGCAATGCAGCATGTAGCGAGGATGGTGCTAACTGGCATGCAAATTCCATGGTCTAGAAGTGGCCTAGCATGTTTAGCTCAGGTGTAGCAAGAATAGAAATCTTTAGAAAATATGTAGTTAGGGACCAAGCCAATAATACAGAGATGGTGCAGAGTTCATGATAAAGGAATAAATGACAATGGATTACTATGTGTATGGAATAATTTGCTTTTCCAAGTCTCTGCTCCAGGAAAAGGGGTCTCCAGGATGTAGTAAGGTGTGTTTAAGCATATTGCTTCCAATAACTTGGGCATTAACTCCCATTAAAATAAGACTTCTGAAATTTTAAGGCCCAGTGGAGTTTTCCCATTGACCTTCACACATTTATATAAATCAAGACCATACTGAATGAAAGCATAGTGATAAAAGGCTGCAGCAAAGAACTGGTAGCATGGCTTCAGTAAAGTTTCATTACCTACTACCAATGAAATCCCTGCATGAAATACACCTCCGCACGGCACGGGAACACCAATAGCACTTATTGTGGTTATAAAACTCTCCTTTGTCTTCCTTCATGGGACCTTTTTTATGCATAATTTAAAAGTGAAGGGTGGGGGGGGAGACTTACCAACTCAATTAATCAACCTTAAACCATGACACAAACTCTGACGCCTTACTTGTGGCTAAAAATACACAAATGTATACAAATTTGTTTTAAACTGTCAATGCCTATATTTAGGACATTCCCAGCAAGGCTATAACGAGACTGTGTTGGAGGGGCTCAGCCACTGCAGACTCTATGCCATTAATTTGAAGTTAGTTAAATTAACAGCATTTAATCCTGGCATGTCAATCTTGGTGCTGCAGGAAATTGCACCTTGAGGCTACTAGCATTGCCAATTTTTTTCACTGGAGAGTGTGTGAACGTGTGCATGAGTGCATGTATGTGTGTGTGTCTGTGTGCGTGTGTTGATGTGCATTGAGCTGTTTTGCCAGCCCCTCCGTGTTGGTACACCTTTATTGCTTTTCTGTGTCCACAGCACTTATATTATCATTTATTCTGGCCTCTTTTAACCTTCCCAGGAGATTTTTGCATAGTGTAGCTGCTCAGTGAAAAGAGTTTTTTAGCTTTATATTTATTTGTTTATTTTTCTGTCATGGTTCATGACTGAGGCTTTAAAAAAAAAAGTGTGACAGCATTTAGAGTACATGATTGACTGCTGAAGCAACATTCATTAACCATGACAAATCTAGAGGAAAACACAGTCTTGAGTGTTCTAAACAGCAGTAAAAAAGACTAAACTAATTTTTCATTGACCTCATCTGTAAATAAATGCAGTCTGATGGTGAGCAGGGGCAATCATAAATTAGTATTAATTTCCTGTAATTAATGCAAACACGCCTATGAACACAGAGAATATGAATATATAACCACCTCATTTCCATTTCAAAATATACCCACCAAATTTCCACTTCACTTATCTTGATTTTTAGTTTTCTGATTTGCAATAATGGATAAGGCTTGCTGAATCAAAATCAAATTATTAGGGGGTTTTTTGTCTTCAAGGGTCTCAAGTTGCCTCTTGGAACCAAGCAGCAAAGCAGTCATCCCTCAGAACAACGGTTTTCAACATCTCTGTGTTTGTCTCCGTTGTTCAGAGCAGGCAGCAGTCGCTTCCTATTTTCTCCTGTTCTGCCCCATTTCCACACTTCTGTTTGCCTGTGTTCAAGCAACCCTGCTGGAATGAAATCTAGTCCAGTTGCAGGTCATCTGGGCTCCATAGACCTGATAGAGAATTCAGTAGAAAGATTCACGTTGACTTCAGTACATGCTGGATCAAGGTCTGTACAAGCTGAATGCAGACAAAATCCCACCTCCCCCAGTTCAAAGTCAGGGCACAGGGCTGTAATACTGTCTCGTCACCAGTACGCAATTGCAAGGTGAGTGGAAGTAACTAAAGACGTATGAACTGGACTCTTCTATGGCTGCCTCATTTCAGTTCTTTCCATCGTAGGTAGGAGGTGTGATGGCTCCTGTCAACCAGGCCATCACCCTGTCCCATCAGTTGATGGTTTCAAGTGTGCATCTGAGAGTCCTGGTAGACCATGTCTTCCAGAGCCATTCATAGCACTCATAATAAACATTTGTCCAGGATGATTTAAGTGGGGAGGATCATGTCTTGTGCGGGGGGTTGGACTAGTTGACCTCCTGAGTTCCTTTTCCGTTGGTCTGGATTCTATAATGAGCCAATTCCTGACCGTCTCCTATGGTTTCTTTGCTGAAAGCTTGCTCCTGATTGCTAAAGCAGGGGTTGTCTTACTCCCAGACCCATCCCAGCAAAACCAGAAAGACATAGGAAGTAGTTAGGGCGAGGCAACCTTCCTGAGGATCATCTTGCAGAGTTTCTTGTGCCATTTCCTCTGGCAGAAGTTGTGGATTGTATAGGTCATATCCTCTTCCATCCCTCACAGACCTTCAGCAAAAGGAACAACAAAGATGGCCTGGTTGACAGGAGTCCTCACACCTCCTACCTATGATGGAAAGAATTGAAATGAGACAGCCATCGAAGAGCCCAGTTCATGTGTCTTTAGGAGCAGCCCTCCTAGAAAGAAACACTATCATGAAGTGGGTTCTCTTGTGACTATATACAGTACTAGCCATAAGGGAAGGCTCAGAGGGAGTTAATACACCTCTCAGATTCATTACTTTCATTGCCACATGAAAATACAAAAGCAGGATATGGGATAAAGCCATGGAGAGCAAAGACTCCCTTTCCCCATTTCACATGGAATAACATCCATGCAGAAACCCTGACATTCTTTTAGGCACTTAAACATGGCAGCCAAGAGTGCAGCTTGCTGAACATTTACATTAAAATATAAAAAGGAAGGAAGACTTCTCTCTACATTCACTGCTATCATTACGCTAGACAACTGTTTCTCTCTTCAGCTCTCTTCATTTATCCTTGGCTTGTTCATCTAGAACTAAATAAAAATAATATTAATGTTTCCATTGGCTAATTTGACACCTTTCCAACATCCAACAACTCTGGATCAAGATCTCAAAGGAAATGGTAAGTGCATCAGCTGACGTTCTGGCCCATAAAATCTTCCTTCTGCAAACACCACGCTTGCTCACACCACGCTTGCTCAGGAAGTCCAGTTACCATAGGGCCTCACAAAAGAGAGCTCATTCTGAAGGTGCCAGCAGATTCCAGGTAGCATGGCCATCTGTCTCATATCCGTATGAAGAATACTTGAAGAAGAGTGGCTGCACGCCAGGTTTGGAAAGCAAAGCCTCAGAGATGAGCATTCTTCAAAGATCTATGGGATGTCAGAGGCATTGAAAAATTCCTTGTTCTCTTCCAAGAGTTGTTAAAAATCCCATGGCATGTTCACATTAGTCTGTGGGGGGGTGGGGGGGGGTTGGACTTCTGGCTAAAGTCCAATTTGAGAGAGACTATGACTAAAAACGTGCATGTAATACACACGTGCCAACCAAAGTATCTCTGTTGATTTTTATTTTATTTTACTCTGATGCAAAAATTATGCTCACTGCTGAGCTCCTGGATTCACTTTTTGATATAACAGAATATCAATGGATCTATGAAAGGTTTAATTATATCCCAGATGTAGCCGTTTTTACCCTTCGGTGTGGTTTTTGTGTCAAAACAGGTCACAGTCTTGGCTCCAAAACTTGGAAGGTTTTGCCTTCTTAGAAAAATTGTGAGCCATCCTTGACTATAGGTGTACATGGTTCTGGCAACATGTACTTTGGCAAGGTCAGTTCAGTTCCCATAAAAGGCGATCCCTATGCACAAAAGATGATCATGACCCCCAGGCTGACAAGTAGAAAGGACACGATTGGGATCTGATCCCAAAATTGCACCCTCCTCCCATGGGCATTGGGGATCCATGGCATCTTTAAATGAACACATGCCAGGGGCTAAGATGACCCAGCCGTCATTAACGTTTCCTTTTTTCTGACAGTTGTTACCATGGAAAGCAGGTTGATGCATTTGAGCACGTTGGTCCAGGAAGCCCAGCAGCGAGTGAATGAACTGTCTACACAAGTGATGAGTGAAGGGCTGGGAATGGACAGCGCAGAAAAAGAGAAGCAACTGAAAGCGTGGGAGTGGAGATACCGACTCTACAAGCGAATGAAAGCAGGCTACGAGCATGCCAGTAAGTAGCAGTGAAGTGGTTATGGGAATCTGTGGAGTGCTCTTCACACAGGACTAAGTTGCACTGGCAGAGTGGTTCCCTATGTTCACAAATGCTCCTGATGCTCCTGGGAGGCATGTAAGTGTTATAGGTGGGAAAATGAAGGGACAAAAAATTACAGACTTGCCCAAGACTGGAGGGTATTTGAATCGGAGAGACCTGAGTCTCCTGACACTTATGTACAGGGACTTGTATGCTCAAAGCCAACAGGCTGGTCAGGCCCGTAAGCTCTCGGTACAATGTCTAATGCTTATGCCGCCAACACACATCCCTTTCCTTGCCTTTTTTCCTTGACGTTTTCCTTCTGACTTCACTGAATGTGATTCAAGGTGGTTGAAAAATGGAGCCATTTTGGAAGGAGGGGAGAAAGCATGGGGGGAAACCAACCTTTTTTTTCACTGTAGCTTGAGAAGCATTTCAGCAGCTCTAGATTTGGTCAAACCGTGGAATTTAATTTTTCTCCCAAAGAACTTTGAATCTTCTCACTCCCCTCCCCCGTACACACACGCACACACTTGTGGGCATATGTAAAGCTGATGTTTTGACAAATGTAGTCAAAATTTGGACAGTATTTTGATCAACTCGAAAAGCTGGGTAGGCTGTGGCCCATGGGAAGGAATAAACTAGGGATTGAAACTATTCTGTTGGTACAAGCATTCTGCTTGCTTTGCTACATGAACGGTAATTGAACCACGGCCACTAATATCCTTAAAACTACCTTTACAAAAATGTCATTGAAAATAACGACTTGAAGGTTATCACGTACTAAACTTACTGAGATAGATGTGTAGTGTTCTCTGTACGTGATACAAAGCATGAAACAAATATGACTGTATTAATTACTTGCAATAAAGAAATGGAAAAGATATAGGCCACGTTCACAATTTATGGTAGCTTCACTTAACCCAGTTGACACTAGCTGAGACCTTGGCCAGTGCCCTTGCCCTTAGCCACTCTGTTTTTCTTTAACTCACAATAGTTTTCATAATTCTCTTATCCTAAATAAAATGTAAAAAACTGGATAACTGCATAGTCTTCATTCATCCATGGAACTGCCTCCGAATTATTTGCAGGTTCAAGAGGGCCTAAAGTTGTTTTTGCAAACGATAAGTAATACAACCGACATTATGTTTCCTGTATCAAAGATGCTCTTTAAACTAATCATTTTTAAAGACACTTATGGCCACAGTCGACAGCACATTTTAGAATGACCACAGTTGGCCCTTTTGCTATTTGTGATTTCTGAATCCTGGTAATGTAGAAACCTGTCATTTAATAGCTTTAAATCTTTCAGGGAAGCCTTAAAGGTTTAATTAGCTCTTCGTGGTTTTGTCCCCTCTCTCTTTCCCCTCACCCCAAGAGATTTATAGGGCTCGTTCATGGACATAATTAGCATTATTCTCTTTTGTTGAGTTACATGCTTACATACATACAGGAAGATCTTTTTAACCCAAAGGAACTGAAGACCATGATAGAAACAAATGGTGCCTGCAGGATATAGTTAGTTGGGGCACTAATTAAAATGCTCAAAAGGCAGAGAACACAAACACCTACAAACCAAAGCTCACAATTGCCGTGTGGTTTTCAGTTGGTTCTTTGAAGACACAAAAACATTGTTTGAATAGGATTTGTTGTGCTGAGGATCTGATGTTTTTTCTTCTCTCCCAGGAGCCCCCGAGGCGCCAACCAACGTCTGTCTCATGGTAACAAGCAGTACATCACTCACTGTCACCTTCCAAGAACCTCTTAGCGTCAACTCAGCTGTAGTGACCAAATATAAAGGTACTGGATTTGCATGCATTTCCTTTTCCTTTCTTAACAATGCACGGGACCTTTAGTGCTAATGTTTACCTTCAGGGGCTATTTTTCTAAGCCATTCCCAGATATTTCCAAGTCATGTTTGGATGGAAATATTTCCTTAGTTAACTTTGCACCACTGAGATATTTGGATGGAGTTCTGGGTTACAAACGCACGCGCGCGCACCGTTTACCCAAGCCATTACCCACAGATCTCTTGAAGCAGTTTGCTTGAATCATTGTGGTTAAGACAGCAGCTCAGTAAGATGAGCCTGCTAGAAAACATGAGCTAAGCTTTAGTGTCTGTGTGCTCCTTAAAACATGTGTAGGCTTGCGTATGCCAAACCCACACCTCCATTCCTTAAAGAAATGCTTCTGGAAGCTGATACTGCTGGCAGCAGCAGCATCACAGCCCAGCCAACTTAGCTGTTCCAGTGTTGCCACATCATTCCTGGAAGAGCAGGACATTTTGGGTGGCACCCTTTAGTCCTAAAGTGGAATGAATAGGAAAATACTTCCATCTGAATAGCCCTGATGAGTAGAGCCAATCGAAACGAGGACTTTCTATTCCTCGGGAGCTTGTAACATTTTCTTCACAAAAGTGTCATTCCAAATCAGAACAAAACCTAGAATTTGGGGGATTTCCTCTGGAAAGGGCCTTCTGCTTTTCCAAAATGAGAAGTTTTTGGCATGGACCCATTCTATTTTCCCCAAACTAAATGGAGCAGGCCTCTGCTTCTAGCTCTTGGAAGGGGGGTTCCCTAACATGCCCCTATGTCCCCAGGATATCTGGCCCAAGCCTGAGAGGCCCTCTCTTGCAGGTAATCTTGGGGTTTCCAGGCCACTGTCACAGAGCTGGATAGAAGGGGTATCTGCAACCTGTCCCTGCTGGGTCTCTCTCACTATCCTCTTTTGGAGCACTTTTATTGGAGAAGAGACTTGAAGGTGGGTCTCAGCCTACACATGAGCCATAAATCTCAGAATATAGACTTAGTCTGCCTTGTTCTCTTTCTTTTGGACTCAATGAAGATTTAATTTTATGTAATAGATCTGCTCTAACAGAAGATGTTGAAAGAGCCCCAGCCCAGGATAGCCAAAGGCCCGGCAGTGTTTCCTGGGGTGTGGGAAAGCCAAGCTCATCCCCTGATGTGAATTAGGCAAAGGAGGGACTTGAGTCTGGCAAAGCAGTTCTCTGAGCACCAGGTTTTCTGGGATGGGTGTTTCATTAAGCGGAAGCTGCTCCAATTCAGTGTCCGGTTACTACAAGATAGAAGCAGATAGGACAGAAAGGCTGATACGTGGTAAATTCATTTTTCTCCCTTTTAGCTCCATACAATTTGTTCATCTGTCCCTATCCTCTGTCCTCCTCAGTAAGTGCGGAAGCAAAAAAATGTTATCCAACTTGACAAATCTTTTGTAAATTGTACTAACTAGCTCTCTCATGCATTTGTTTGAGTTATCTACACTGCCAGTTGTTTTATGTCTGGTTAGGATAACAATTAATTGTACCAGAATATTCTTTTAAAGTCCTTTTACCCAGGAGGCCGGAATACTTAGGGCTGGATGGGAAAAAAAAAGAAAAGCAAAAAAACCCAAAAAAACTTTAATGAGTTTTGAGTAACTGGTGGGGATCAATTAAACCCTGCATGTAAAATTGTTTATTACATTTTGGAGTGAGATCCTTGTTCATTTGAAGGGCCATGAAATAAACCTTTCAAATGATCTCTCATAAGAATGAGTAGAACCAGGTAGGAGCTGCTTCTCCCATAAACAAAATTTGATCATTTTGACCAAGGATCTTTTAGCCAAAAGCATAATTCAGTAATCCAGTTATGTGTTTTGTGAATTGAGGATCATACCCTTTCCTACTAGGTTAATACTTAATTTAACAAAAAAAAGGCACCAGAAGAATTAGTAATATATTGTCATTGGTCAAGCCTCCCTTCTTATGCTGATAATGTTATTTTCTAAGGATCTTCATTGCATGAGACAAATGCTGACAATTCCTTTTAATATATTATCTTTTTCTAAAAATGGTTGGTATGTGGCTTGATTCTGCATTGTGGAAGAATGCTTTCCAAATGCCTATCTGTTCAATGTTGTTTCGAGACTTGTAGCAGAACATAGTCTAAATCCGCTGGCTGTTTTTCTCTGTGCAAGGTTTCCCTTGTTACCTCATTTACAAATATTAATATAGGAGAATGATACTTTGCCCTCACACTACACCCACTGAAACCAGCTTGCTTCATTAAGAGATTTAATTTAATCACACTAGATAGCTGGGTGTTGACTTTGGTGTCCCAGCTGGAATCCAGCTGAGTGATTGCATTCTGTTGAGCTATTTCTTTAAGGAGTAAAGCTGTTTCTTTAAGGAGCTGGGGTATTCGTTACTCCTACGCTGAACTGTTATTTAAAGTTGCTGGCGCGATCCTCTTAATTTCTCTCCAGAGAAAAGTGCATTATGGCAATGGCTGAAAAGTCAAATGTTCCCCTTGTATATTGTAATTTGGTAAAATGTGTTGAGGCTTGAATCAATGATGATAGTAGTAATCTTCTCCAAGCAGGAGGGGAAGAGTCAAAAGCAGTTCCAGCACAAAGTTCTAGGAAGCTCATTAAGCATGGTAATACTTCATTAAAAATTATCTATTTGGATAATCATGCTCTAGGGACAAACTTTGCACCTGTTTCTGCAAACACTTTGAATTTGGCTATACTGCTTGTTCTCACACCGGTGAACAAGCAGTGAAAACCTGGGATAAATGTGCTTCACTGATCCAAAAAGTGACTTCCTGCAAACTCTAGCTGAGACGAGTCTTACTAGGCCGTGTTACTTTTACACTGGTGCATTCTTGTATGCTACATGTTTGCCCAGCAGAGCTACATCAGTGTGACTACTTGGATGCAAAAAACCCTCCAGTGTAGGCGAGATCCTGATGTGATCCTAATGAAGTCTGATGGTATGTGTTCACAGGCCCAGAATCTTTCAGAGCCGCTGCTTTAACCAGTTACCCTTGCAATGAGTGTCACATGCGTCTCTCACAGACATGCATGCACAACCACAAATCAGTTTAATTAAATGAAAAGCCCTTTTCCTCATCGTGGACAAAAGATGATTTGTAAATATTGCTGAGAAATTCAGCAATGACAATACAGCATTGCAAACCTGGAAAAAAATGAAGCTTTCCTCTCCCTGCCTTAAATCCGATTTGTTTTTGCTTTGCCCCTTCACAGGTCCAGGTTCAGATGTGCATTACTTCTTCTTGAGCGGTGTCACAATACAGTGTACACTCCTATCAGAAGTCATTATCATTGTGCTAGGAGGTTTAAGGATTCAGATAAGACCAAAGAATAGATGTAGAGCTAAGAATAGCCACTGATGAAAACTTAATATGAAATATGGAGAGATTCAATGTACAGTATACTTCATTTCCTTTATCTGTTTTTCCCAAACAAAGACATATTCTACAAATCCATCTCTTGGTGAGAAATGGAGAAGCAGCTACGGTGCCCAAAGCTGACTAATTAGATTGATTGAAGGTATGTTGGCAAATAGAGAGAAATTCTGAGCTACCTTTGACTAGGCCAATTGAGCCACTTGACCCTCTCAGCAGACAGCAGTCCCAGGGCCCACATGCCAAGATACAAAAAATGCATTTCCAGTAGCAGGATTGCCTCTAATAGAGATTCACACAGTTCACCTGGGGGTTTGAAGTCACTTCCCAGCCTGGCATTGAGTTGGGTTGATGATGAGCAACTGTCTGGGCTACTTTATCCCCATGTATTGCCCTTCTTTTGGTTTGTTTCTTGGCAAACCATTTTACACATTTCTGTTTGTCCGTGTGGCCTGACAGCCTTCTAGGGCTCCCGCCTGATGGAAAAAATGTTCTTATTTCATGTCAGTGTTATAGCTCTTTTGAAAACGTCAGCCAGTCATGTTAGATCAGGAAAAGACAGTTATTTCTTGCATAGCTTTTGCCAAAAAACCTTACTCCCTGCCTCCCTTCCTCCAGGGCAATTTGTGGTTCTCCTCAACATTGTTTGCGTTCGTATAGTGCAAGTCCCAAGTAAAGGCCAAAATTCATTCCCACCTGGCAGCTGGTTTGGTGGTATGTGAAATGAGTTTGTATTGGGCTTAGCCCATTTCTCCGAGAATTAAGCGCCCACGTAACCCCAGCACCGGCACTGGAAGTCTCGGAAGAAGGAGCTGAAGGGGCCTTGGAGAGTGAAATGCCATCTTGCACCAACAAGAGGAACGTTTTAAGGTCAGAGTCTGGGATCTCCAGAATCTTACTCCAGTGAGCCTATTTTATAGATATTCTGTAGCTCCATCGAACTTCACTGTAACTGGCTCTCAATCATTTGCCCTTCACCAAGGCTAGGGAGAGAAGTTACACAAGCCGGTTGAAGTGATCACAAACTGGTTTAAACCTGTAACAGAACACAAGTTCAGTGCACATACTGGCTGAAACTGGTTTAAGACAAACCTGGTTGAATGTAGTAAACACCCCTTCGCCTGCTCAAACTTACTGCTGGCTGTGAATGTGGACTACAAATCCCAGAGGCACCTGGAAGCAGGAAGAAGTGATGAGCAACCCTGCAGAGTCCTGGGGCTATAAGTCTGGACTGCAAATCCCAGAGACCTCAGGGGCAGCAAACACGCAGCCAGAGAGCCGTGCTTTAGCGCCCCCCGGCTTCTGGCCTGAGCCACTGCAGACATGTGGCTGCATTACCCGAATCAAAGGGAAATGCCTGTTCACTTCTGTTTCAGTTTAATCTGTGCATTTTAGACTAACCTGCAAAGACTGAATTGATTCAGCCTCCGGCTTTTTGTCTGTCTGTATCTAGCCCAAGAGCTACGGGTCTGCTCCAAAGTCCATTTGAGGTAAATATGAGTCTTCTGTTGAACACTTTGACTTGAAAAGAAATCTCAGATAGATTTTTAAAACAACTTAGGGAATTCCTTTGATGTAGCACATTAAATCCAT